TCTAGCAAACGCAGTTTCCCTAAAACAAAAACCGCTCCAAAAAAAAAAAAAAAGATTAAAAAAAAAAAAAAAGCACAACTTTGGGCCCCTCTTTTTCTTAGTTTCCCTTTGCCCATCACCACGGAATGATGCAACAAAAAGGCCCTTGCCAGTAGTCAATCCCTCAGTCCTGGACTTCCTAACCTCCAGAACTACAAACCAATAAATTTAGATTCATTGTAAATTATCTAGTCAGTCTGGGGACCAACAGGTGGTGTGGTGGTGAAGGTACTGGTACATGTCTGACTGTGGTTTGAGTCCTAGGCCCTGTAGCTTGCTGTCTCACTTTCTCTCTCGTTGGAGAGCCCACATGCCCTATAGCAAGATAAAATAATTATAAGTAAAATAAATAACTTTTGAAAGGTTTTTGCTATAAGGCACGTGCGCTCACCAGAAAGACAGAGAGAGACAGAAAGCAAGAAATCACCCCCTGGGGGGATGGCCACGCCACAATCCCATCTCCTCCAGTCTCCTCTCAGGATCTTGGGCATGCATGCACACGTGCCCAGCGTGAGTTTAAGCCACTGGGTCTGGGACTCGAACCACGGTCGACTACATGGGAGTCCAGTGACATAGCCATTACACTAACTGCTGTTCCTCATTTTTTGGGATTCTGACAGGAAGAAGGAGTGGAAAAAAAGGAATTGAAACATGACCGGGCCCCACTGGGGAGCACTTTCTTTCTCTCTTGTGCATGCATATACCCTGTACATTAAAAAAAAATGAGTACTGGGACCAGCAGTTGGTGTAATGACTATGTAGCTGAACTCCCATGTAGTCGACCGTGGTTCGAGTCCCAGACCCAGTGGCTTAAACTCACGCTGGGCACGTGTGCATGCATGCCCAAGATCCTGAAAGGAGAATGGAGGAGAAGGGATTGCAGCGTGACCACCCCCCGAGAGGATTTCTCACTTTCTGTCTCTCTGTCTCTGTCTTTCTGGTGAGCACACATACCCTATAGCAAAAACCTCTCCAAAAAAAGAAAAAGAAAAGAGTACATCTCTTTTTGAAATGCAAAGTTTGAAAATTGAAAGGGCCAATATCGGGACCAGCAGTTGACATAACAGCTACATTACTGGACTCCCATGTAGTCAATTGTGGTTCGAGTCCTGGACCTGGTCCCTTAAGCTCACGCTGGGAACATGTGTGTGCACATGCCCAAGATCCTGAAAGGAGAATGGAGAAGAAATTGTGGTGTGGCCATCCCCCCTGATGAGGTGATTTCTCGCTTTCTGTCTCTCCATCTCTGGCGAACGCACGCACTGTATAGCAAAAACCTCTCCACAAAAAAGGAAGAGCCAAAATTGATTTATTTCATTAAGTTTAAGTTATGTAGGTAGTGAGGACTGAAAAACAATACTCGTAAATTATCAAGAAAAGTGTAAAAAAATTAGCAAAAGAAGCAAATCTATATGACTCATCAACTCTTTGTATCCAGATAAGCTAGGATATCTAGATATTTTAAGTTATTTAAAGTTGTTCTATTCCACCAGAGATATCCTGAAGTTAGTTTTTGGTTCTAGTCTATTTAATTCAAACTACTTTTATGGAATACCCTCAGAGGTAGATTACCCTGGCACAAAGAATGCCTAAACTCCAGCCCCCTGATTTACACAACCCCTGTGCACATTGAGAACTGCCAGGCAGTAGGTATTCTGGGAGGGAAGCAGAAACCATGTTGCAAAAAGGAAGAAGTTCTATGTAGCATTTCTGGCAAATGTCTAAAAGAATTTGCAGAAGGAAAGAACCTGAATTTCCAAAGCTCTTGTAATTGGTTGTGGTGTCTTTTTGCTTTGTAATTATCCATTTTTTCCAACCTAATTTTGTATCCGTACATTGATGTACATCCTCTGGATTATATGAGTCAGATTCTAATGCCAGTATTTATTGTAGTTCCTATGCCTTGTGTCCTGAACTAATCAAGATACAAAAACGCAGGACAGTACATTTTTTAGCCTCCCCTGCAGTTAAATTCCAGAGTTAAACTGGAAACATTTCTCTTCTGGTTAATGGACCATGAGAAAAAGTGATGGTGCTGTTGTTTCTGTTTCAAGGCTTTTTTTTCTTTTCCTTTTGAGAGAGCTTTTTGCTATAGAGCACATGTGCTCACTGGAGAGACAGAGAGACAGAAAAGGAGAAATTGCACCCCCAGGAGGGATGGCCACACCATAATCTCTTTTCTATTCTCCTCTCAGGATTTTGGGCACATATGCACACACACCCAGTATAAGTTTCAAGCGGTGAGGTCTGGGACTCTGTGGTCACCTATGTGGGAGTCCAGTGATGTAACCATTACAGCATCTTCTGGTCCCTGTTTCAAGGCTCTTAATGTTGGTTAAGAGCCAATGTGAGTCCTCTGTTCTCTCTCTAGAAATATGTAAGCCTGCAAGCAAAGGACATCAAGATGAAGTGATTTAAAGAAGCATACGAAATCCTTGAAGACTTGATGGGACTTTATATGAGAAATAAAACACTTTTATATTAAACTAGAGATAGGCGATAGGAAGGGGAGTGAGGATGTGTTACCAGAATTTAGCTTAGTCTAGCTCATTCATACGAATTCATATAGTAATAAATGCATCTTGTACCTTGACACATATATAGGTAATCCAAATTTTAAAATATGATTACTATTTCTGAATTACTTAATATTTTTGTTCTATTTCATTTAGAAAAGTGATTATACCCATTTATTTTCACCACATCCTAATTGGTTTCCAACCACAATGTGAAAAATATTGTATTAAGGTACCTCAGAACACTGATCTATGAACAAATTTTAAATGTGTTATTTAGGAAAATTAGAATTTTACGATAAATGCAATGTTAAAATGATTATAGAAATATATTGCATCTTGTATAATGAAATATTACTGCATCTTTGCAATATGTTTTAATTTGGTTGGTACATACACATACATGTGCCTTTTCTTAGGTGTTCTGCAAAACTGGTAGTTCTGTAGCATTAAAAGAAAGCAAGCTCCTTTAAACATTTGTGCTTTTTTACTACACACACACACACACACACACACCTCCATTATCTATGAATTGGGGGAACAGCAGGTGGAGGTGGTTGTGGTGCTGGACTCCCACTGGCCACCTGGGTTGGCATCTCAGACCCAGCATCTTGAGAATCATGCAGGGGGAGGGTGCATGCATGGCCAAAACCTCAGGAGAATGGCGGTCAGGGCATTGTGGGCCAACTGATTTCTCACTTTCCCTCTCTCTGTGTCTCTCCCTGAGGGCAAGCACCCTAGAGCAAAAACCTTAAAAAAAAAAAAAAAAGGGGGGGGGGGGAAAGAGCAAGAAAGAAAAGAACTGGGCTTGGTCCAGAGTAAAATTAAGAATGCTTCATGTGTGAATCCAAAATCCTCATTTATTTCTCTTCCCGAAAATAGGAAAAAATAAATGAAGTTACAAATTGTATTTTGTTACAATACTATCCTGCTGTTTCTAAAGGCCTGGAAGACGGAATATTAAAACCCTGAACTGGGCCGCTTTCCCCAACTTTGCCGCTCTCCACGTCCAGCGATGGAGACAGAAGACCCAGCGGTGCAGAGGGTAAGTCGGAACGTACACGAAACTGTCGTGACACTCTTCCTACTGCCTTGAGCTCCCGTAAGCAGTAGTGTCCCGTCGTGTACGTCGGTTCGCCCGTAGGCCATCTCCTGCCTGCTGGGAACTTCCGTTTCCGCTGGGCAGGCCGGAACTTTTGTTCCTAGGAACGGGATTACATGGTTGAGTGTTGCCAGCCGGCGTCAAAGTGAAAAGGGAACCATCCTCTTCCTCTCTGCCTAGCCGCCGCCGCGGAGTGCAGCCGAGCTAATCTGATCGAGGAACACGGTTACCAGACGGGCTGGGTCTATGGTCGCTCCGCGAGCCGCTCCGCCAGCTGGTGCTTTTTTATCAGGGCAAGCTGTTTTCCATGGCAGGGAACTTTTGGCAGAGCTCCCACTAGTAAGTGAGCATCAGTCTTTTCGCCCGGGGTCGGCTCTTAGCGGGCGGTGGGACTGGGCCTGTGACTCCCCTGGACCTAGATCCTGTGTCCAGTGCAAAGTGCCGGGGGCTTCCCGAGAGTAGGTAGCGGCCGGAAGTGAGATGAGCTTTTCTAAGGCTACTTCCCTCCCGGCTCCTGGGCCTGGTTTTGGGGGTACTTGGGGTGGGGGAGGATCGCTGGAGAACGAAGGTTTTAGGAGTCTAATTTCGTGTTCTTAGATTAGGCTGATGTTGAGGGGGAATGGTTGAGGAGGGCACAGGTATGCGAAGTGTGATTCAGTTCAGGACTGTGGGGCTACCTTTTCAGGACAGTTGTGGCCGCTTTTGCCTGGGATTTTTTTTTTTCATGGGAATGGCGTTGTGGTCTTTTGTCATTCACCTTGTGTCTTGAGTGGATTTAATTTGACTTCGAGTAGCGGTGGGAATCATACTGGTTTGTGCCTACTAGCGATCTCCTGTCATTATTTTATGCCTAGATGGAATTTTATGTTGGTGAGATGCAGAGGGGTTCTTTCAAAGTTTATCCATCTTATTAGCCCATGCGTTGTTTTGTTGTTAAGTGTATGTTCCAGTGATTTGTGTGCCTAATTGTTAACCTTATAATAAGTAAGTTTTTGTTTCTGTCAGTGATTGTGGAAGAGCTAAAGTAGTAGTACAGACATTGATCTCTAAATACATTTGTTAAAGTAAGCGGGAAGGTACGTGATGGAGCTGCAATAGAACATTACGGTGGAAATTTGAGAAGATAACGTAAATTTTTAATGCTAAGAGAATATTAGTAAATGTAATTTCAATTTGGATTCCGTGAATTGGATTTGTTTCTGTTGTTCATTATTTTTTTAGGCTTTTGCACAAGTACAAAGGAAACAATGGATTTAGAAACCTAGTTTCAGAAAAGCAGATTTTCCTCTTGCTATAAAATGATTCTGTGGAGATGAAGTGCTATAGAAACTTTATTATTGAGCATATTATTATTTTTTAAAATATTTTTTTATTTTCATCTTATTTATTCATTCATTCATTTTAATTTGACCAGAGAAAGACAGAGAGAGAGGGAAAATGAGAAAGCAAGCCACCAGGTCTGGGACTTGAACCATGGTAAACCATGTGGGAGGATCCAGCACCTTAACCACCATGCCACCTGCTGGCCCAGTCATACTATTTTTATTTTGCATAGTTTTTACTAATGATGTGTTTGGGCAAAGTTAAGATATGGAAAGTTTAGGTAGTAGAGAAGAAATAGTCTGATTAAACTTTGAAAGAATTGAGAGAATTGACAGGTAGGTGTTAATTATCAGAAGTTTTCCAATTTTTTCTTTAGAATTATTTATTCAATTTTCTTTATTATTATTGTTACTTTAAATTTACTATAGGGCACTCACACTCACCAGGAAAAGAGAGAGAGGGAGAGGGGAAAGTGAGAAACCAAGCCTCAAATCTGGGACTCAAACTGGTCTGCTATATGGAGTCTAGCACCTTAACCACCATGCCACCAGCTGGCCCCAGATTTTATTTTATTTTATTTTATTTTATTTTTTTGAGAGAGAGATTTTCGCTATAGGGCGTGTGCGCTCACCAGACAGACAGAGAGAGACATAGAGACAGAAAGCGAGAAATCCCCCCCCAGGGGGGATGGTCACGCTGCAATCCCTTCTCCTCCATTCTCCTCTCGGGATCTTGGGCACGCACGCACACGCGCCCGGCGTGAGTTTTAAGCCACCGGGTCCGGGACGCGAACCGCGGTCGACTACGTGGGAGTCCAGCGACATAGCCATTACGCCAACTGCTGGTTCCCCAGATTTTATTTTTTTAAGAGATTTTTGCTATAGGATGTGCATACTCACTAGAGAGAGAGACAGAAAGTGAGAAATCACCCTCCCCTCCATGGCCATGGTACAATCCCTTCTCCTCAATTCTCCTCTTTGGATATTGGCCACACTCATGCACATGCCCAGCATGAGCATGAGTTTGTTTGTTTTTTGTTTGTTTGTTTTTACATTCAATCACTTTATTATTTGTCTGAGCATGAGTTTTTAAGCCACCAGGTCTGGGACTTTAACCATGGTCCATTAATGATGTGGGAGTCCAGCGACTATGTAACCATTATGCCATCTGCTGGTTCCAGCTTTTTAACTTTTTTTGGAGAGGTTTTTGCTACAGGGCGCATGCTTTCCCTAGAGAGGCAGGAAGCGAGAAATTACCCCCCAGGGGGCATGGCCACCCACAATCCCTTCTGTATTTCTCCTCTCAGGATCTTGGGCATGCACGCATACGTGCCCAGCGTGATTTTCCACCGGGTCCTGAACTTGAACCTTGGTTAACTACATGGGAGTCAGGCAACAAAATCATTATGCCAACTGCTGGTCCCCAGATTTTCAACTTTTAAAAAAAGATCCTGCCTTCTTTTTAAGGAGGCAGTACTCTTGGCATTATCAAAACAATTGTTTTTTAATTTCCAAACGTGAATGTGCATTTCTGAAACTGTCTTTGCCTCTCGATTCAAATAGTGCTAGAGGAAGGGGCCAGTTTGATTTACTTTTATCCCTTGAGAATTATGAATACATAATCTGCAGAAGGTGACAACTATGACAAAGATTTTTGAAAGGCAGTTGCTTTAGGTAAATTTGGTAGAGGAAAACTGACATGAAATTTGCTGTATTTTGTGCTTCTAAGATGCACGTTTTTCTGCTTTAACATCTCTAAAATCAGCATGGCAATTTTTCATAGTAGCAAATGAAAATGGTGAGCCTTACATATAATTTTAAATTTGGTGAAATGCAGTGTTTGTAAGTCATATTGGTTTGTCTTTGTCTTTGGTTTGTTTTCTGTAAAGAAAATTCTAAAAATGTTTGTGAAGTTTATCTTTTCAAAAACAAAATGACTCTGGGGATGAAATTAATGGTAATTTCAAAAGATGTAAAATTATTCTGTGAAGATGAAGTTAATGAATTTATCACAGTATATGTCAAGAAGTTGAAAGACACTAAGTATTTGCTGGTTGATTTAATGAACAGATGAAGGAAAAAACTACAGGCCCAGCTTCTTTTTGCCATAGGGCAGGTGCCACCACGCCCCCAGGCCCAACTTCTTTTTATTTATGTATGTTTTTAGTTCGAAGTGGGGGGGGGAAGCTAGTGTTATACAACTTTGACTTAGACTTGTAAAGTATTTTAAAAGATTGGCAGTAACCAGTAAGGTTAAATATTTTAAGACATGCTCATGAACAGCTAATAGGGTTGGAAATCGTTATAATTTTTGGAGGGCATACTGATGGTGTGTACCAAAGTTGACAACAAAATTTACCATTAGGTCTACTTCTAGACATTATTTCAAATATATTAGTATGCAAGGATGAATTATGAAGATACTCATTAAAGCATTATTTGTAATAGTGAAAAGATGATAACCCATATGTCTACCAATGGGGACTGACAAATAATGATCCATCCATAACGCAGTTCAGCAGTGTAAAGGAATGGTAAATAACAGGTTCATTGACCTAAAAAGACTTCCAGTACTTACTGATTAATAAAAGTTTTTTGCAGAATAGTTGGGGTTTTTGGTTATTGTTCTTTCATTTACTTTCTTTCTTTTTTTTTTTTTAAGAGAGATTTTTGCTATAGGGTGCCTGTGCTTGCCAGAAACACAAAGAGAGACAAAAAGTAAGAAATTCCCCCCAGGCGAGAATAGCCACATGCATTCCCTTCTCTGTTCTCCTCTTGGGATTTTGGGCATGCACACACACGTGCCTGAACTGTTTTAAGCCTCTGGGTTGGGGACATGAACTGCAGTCGACTGTGTGGAGTTCAATGTCACAACCATTACACCATCTGCTGGTCCATTTAGAGATTTTTTGATTGTTTTTCCTGTGGGGCACATGCTCGCTGGGTATGCATGCTCGCTGGAGAGAGAGACAGAGAGACAGAAAGTGAGAAATCATGCCCCAGCAGGGATGGCCATGCCACAATCCCTTCTCTTTCATTCAGGATTTTGGGTATGCATGCACACAGACCCGGCATGAGTTTTAAGCTGCTGGGTCTGGGACTTGATTTGGTTAATCATGTGGGAATCCAGTGACATATTCATTATGCCATCTGCTGAGCCCCATTTGTTTACTTTTTGAATCATGTCAATTTCATATCTCTGGTTAAAAATATTGCATACATGTAACCAGGCAAGGAGAAGAGGCTTGTTTACCAGTGTAACAGATTCTGAAGCAGCTTTTATCATGATTGCAAGTTGGGAAGTGGAGAACTTAATTGCCCTAGCTACTCATGAACAACTGAGAAAAGATATAGCTCATCAAATCTATGGCATCACCAATTGGTACTAAATAAATCCACCATTATTTTATGTATCACTAAGAATAAACCTGCTAATTAAATTACTAAGGCATGAGTGATTGTAAGATGTATCTTTTTTTTTTTTT